AAGATAAAATGGAAAAATACAGTAAGGAACAGGTTCAAGCATGCAACCAGCAGAATCACAGTGTGACTAAAAATTTCTTTTTTTTTGTTTTTATAATTACCATCTTCCTCAATCATGTTTACAATTTAACAATATTTAATTAACTAGCTAACTGCTACTGGCTAGGTTTTGACTAAATAATGGTTAGTTTGCAAAGCTGTAGATTAATTACAAGAAATAAAATTATTTTTAACAATCACATGATTGTTTACATGCACAATTACTAAAGTATATTAATAAACTACAAATTAAAAAACTAACTTTAATTATGGATACAGTTCACAAAGGTACATGAATAATTAAGATAACTTATTGTACCAAATGAAGCTTTAAGTTATCAAATTCAAATTGTTGTTAAAAAGATTTCCTTTCTCAAACATTCTTCAAACATATTTAATAGGCCATTTTACAGTTGTGTACTTAGTTACCAAACCTTTGATTTGGAGTGAGGCTGAAGGTGACCTTGTCATGATAGAGACCTGTATCTAGTTAGCATGATAACAAAGTGATTTACATTTGAAAGGCAGCAAGGTCTGTATCATAACAAGGTCACCCTTGGCAACCAAGCACAAAACTGTAAAATGGACTATTCACAAAATCATCAGATCTGAGATTCACTGTGTGTTAACCCTCCCAATAAGTCACCAAATTTTATCTAGTTAGCATGATAACAAAGTGATTTACATTCGAAAGGCAGCAAGGTTTGTATCATAACAAGGTCAACCCTAGCCTCACTCCCATTCAAAGACTTGGCAACCAAGCACAAAACTGTAAAATGGACAATTTACAAAATCATCAGATCTGAGATTCACTGTGTGTTAACCCTCCCAATAAGTCACCAAATTTTCATCAGTAAGCAACAGAGACATGTTTGACAATCACTAAGGGGAGTTTCAGATGTTCGAGTAGACCCTTTAACCCTCACAAGTGGTTAAAATGAGATTTCTCCCTCTAACACCCATACCTCCATCCAGCCAACAAGTACTGAGAGTATTCAGAACAAACTTATCAAGTAGAAGTTATCCTGATCTAACACCAAATTTACAAGGAAATGTGTAGCAGCAAGAGGAGAGAATTAACAATCAGATTTTGGGAGTTACAGGGTTAAGGAGAAAATATGCCCACTAGTCTATAATCCATTCTGTTGCACCGACCAAGAAACTCTTTAAAAGAGACACTTACTACAAAGGGGATTCTGAACATAACATCTCCATTTAGTAACTTTCTAATTGTTAACTTTTGTAACGACGAAATTAATCATAACGATGTTTTCTCTTGAGAAATCTGGAAATGACACCACCTTTCTTTCGTCGCTCTTTTCGATCTTTTATTGTTCAAAATACGCATACAATTCTGCTTCTTTATTATTCAACTGTGCTTCGCAGAGGACAAATAACGCCCAAGACGAGTACAAATATCACGCGATACTTGTGCTCCAGAAATATCCGCGAAATTCGCCCGCACTGAAATAACAATGTGGCGTGTTGGATAATAAATAACTTATTGGACGTTTTCTTGTGTAGTATCGCTGAGTATTTTTACTCGTTATTTGTATTTTGACTTGCACGGCACAACTCGTAAAAATACACAGCGATACTACAGAGCAAAACGTCTAAGAAGATATATATATTTTCAAAATTACTTAATACTTCCACCCACTTCGAAGCAACTTGATACTTGCAATATACTACAACAACACTACATGTACATTATCAATCATAACGAAGATGTCTCCGGAAAAGTCTTGGTATTAGACCGACCATCTTACACTGTTAATTAAGAGAGAATGAAAATAGCAGCTGTATCAAACAAACTCTTATGGCAACACTCAAACACCAATTCTTTTTACTAAAACTTACCTAACAAAAAAATTGCAGAATCAAGCATGCTATAACATATTTTTAACACAGAAAAAATGTGATACTTTCTCTTAATATTGGCCGAGGATCTGTCACCATAGCATTTTTAAAATAAATCGTCAGTTACAATGTTTGTTTCGCGATCGAGTGACAGCAGCCATTCTCGGGCAAAAAATTGTGCTTAAGCGATTCTGTACTCTGTTTGCTAACATTCTCAGTTGAATATAATATTTCGCAAGTCTACATCAATGTTAGTAAGGTTTATGGCTTTGACTAAAGCCCTGTTTACTAACGGGTTCAGGATAAGACATCCTTCCAGGCTATAAACGTGATATTAAAACACGGGTTGTTTTGAATTCGTGCAATCCAGTTGGTGTGGAACTTTTAATTATCGCGAACATAATTACACCACGAAAAAAATTACGATTTCTCACTTTTAATTCTCCGATGAAATCCTTTCAATCAAATTTAATACCGAGGGGACGAACTGGGCGGTAAAATTAGCCATTAACTCTAAATTGTAATATCTTTAGTTGAACGTTTCAAAAATTTATGACTTCATGCGACACTATTCGAGAAACAATGCACAACCAGTCGCTAAAAATGTTTCAATCAATAAAGCTGTGGAGAGATCCAAGCCTAATTCCGAGGGTCTATTACAACTTTTCCTTAGTTCCCGCCTTCATATTGGGTCGTTTTAAGCAGCTCTAGGCCTTGACACAAAAGCATTTCTTCGATGTTTTGTCCAGACAAAAAAAGAAGCGCAATGCGCAAAACTGCCGGCATGGTGCTTCCACCAAACAAAACATTTCTAGCAATGTTATCGTTACAAACCTTTTTTAACTGCGGCGTTTCTTGCTTCTCAGATCTGCACTGAGACTCACAAATTACCAGGCGGTTGTTTATAGTTCTGTCTTCGGTTTTTAAGTCACTTGCGATCGTATCGCGGGGAGCGAACAACCGACCCGCTTCAAGCGATCCTTGTAGCACGAGAACGAAGACGAAGCTTATCACAAAAGCGCGTGTCGAAATCATTCTTGACTGCGATGTGATCTGCGCAATAAATTCTCTTTCACGCCAATTTAGTAGCATGAAAAGCACATCTCACGTTGCGAGAGAGTCCGCCATGTTTCAAGGCAAAAAATATTGTTTCCCTAAGAGAGCAGCTCGTCATTGAAGTGAGCATGCGACTGAATCCTTCCCACTAAGGGGTCACGCTCACGCACGTGCTATTTTTGGAAAGATCCATACATAAACATGTGAACTTTATCTGAACTTTATTTAATAGTACATAAATATTTATTCAGAGCTTTAGAAGTCAAGCAGAATTGGCAAACTCATTTAAACATACTGTTAAGGCCCATTTATTTAACAAGTGATCATCCTTCAATATGTTCATTTAAAAAAGAACCGCAATGGGAACACATTTCCTAACTCCATTTCTTGTAAAGTACTTATGATTGTTGGTTCCATATTTTAGGAAATTAAATTGAAAATAAATTCCCTTTCGCTGCTGTTATTTTTAATTTTCAAGTCATAGTTTCAAATCACAATTTGGTAAGACTGGTCCAGTTCGAAAGCCCTCTAGGAAACGCAAGCAGGACATCCGGATTCAGTGACGTCAATCATGGAGCATGGCAACCTTAACATGCGTTTCCGTTACCTGCCTCTTTGTTCTCTTTGTTTTTTTTTTCTTTTTCAGTTCTACCTGCACATCATTTTTCAAGTTGTCCGATGATTTAACTGAAGACTTTCAGAACAGCTTACGGTGAACTTTTTGGATCAGTCTAGCCAAAAGCCTGCCTTATTAAAATCAAAGTGACATTATCGACTTCCCTTGTTTAGGAATATGTCATCAACACAACTTCCTGAGTTAAGTTACAGGTAATTGGAAAACTGAAGGTGTGTCAGCCTGGTTCAAAACAATATTCAAAAATTTGCATTATGAATGAAAGAGAATGATTCATTCATTGCCATTTTTAAAAGTGAGTTACTATTCAATCGCGAGCCGTCACTCCCTAACTGCTACAGTTTCTTTTAGGTGTCTTAAGTCTTTAAAAAGTCCTACGAGCAAAAATGGCGAGGCCAAATTTGTTTTGTTATTAATTAACACCTTTTCTTGTAACAATTAGGCATCCTTTTGAAAAATGCCCTGAGCCTCTCTTGGCTATTTGCTTGTGATCGTTCAAAAGATGTCCACAAAGCGACAAAAAAACATATAGACACAGGGATGACAAAGGGACAGTGCAAAGCAAAGTAGCTTTTTCAGATATTTACAAACTTCCCTCATCCTGAACCATCAAAAGAGTCGTCCAACAAAAAATGGAAAATTTGTGACCGTCAATTAAATCAGACATAATAGGCGGTCAACGATCTACGTGTTATATCCATATAATCGAGGACATATGGAAATTATATTGTACCCAGTGTCACAAACTTGAAAATGATGTTTAAAAATGAAGTTCAGATATTCTCAAAGAAACTCGTATAAACCGCTTCTTTTCTGTTGAAACTGACCCTTCGTCATTTTAATTTTTCTATTAAATCCCGTTTGGAAAAGATTTCTGTGTCGAAGATTACTGCCCTTTAAGTAGAATATAAATTAATTTACATAAATAATTGTTCATTAAGATAATTATTATCGCTGTTAACTTTTTTACACGTGTAGGCTCTCCCTTCTGAACATCGGTTTTTGACACAAAATTTTATGAACTGCTGCACGAAACATTCTTAGAAATATACCTTCTCCCACATATGACTATTCGCGTACACTTCATCAGAAAGTAGAAGCGATTCATAGAGCCTTAAGTTTCCATGTGCCTGGTCTGATCGTAACAATCACATAGGGAATAAATTTAAACCAGATCCAAGATCTCAAGGAAACACTTGGATGATCTAGATGATCACTCACAACCTAGATGATCATGATTCTCCGGTCAGAGCTGTTATTTATCCGGTTGTAAAATCGATCCGGATGAAAGTATGAAAACAAGGCTTTCGTTACGTTTATGTAACAATTCAAAATAAATTTACGCTGGTTTGATCGATGGCCTGTCGTTTAACCGCTTCAGGATCTCGTTGAATTCCTCTGGCCATCTGTAACTGACTTTCAGCCACACAGGAGAGTCTTTGGACGAGACTGGCACATCTGGGAAAGCAATACACACCATTTTTGCTGCTGAGCGATTTTGAGAGTAAATATCTCGAAGAACCTCCAACTCATACCACACACGGTTGATGTCCTGGAGAAGAAATTAAACAAGAAAATATTACGGCCATCAGAATTATAAAAGTACATATCGATTTGAAGTCTGGCCGTAGAAAAAGATATTAAGTAAAACAGAAGGGGTTAAAAGGGTCCCATGATTATATTCTGTCTTAATTTAAATGATGACATACACAATCACTACATATTTCGTTATAGTTTAAAGCATATTTTAAGATATATTTCTTTATTTTCACTTGACAATGACATCAGTCATGGCGATACCGAAACGTTGTGCGTTCAGTTTTAATTGGCACAACAAACGTCATAGATGAAAATGCCAGAGGGGAAAAAAAAGGCGCCAGGGGAGGCTGCAGTGCCATGTAGTAGAAAAAAATCCCAGCATGTAATCTTTTTCAGTAATCTGAAATGGACAGTTCTTCGGCTCTACCGGAAAACAAATTCAGTGCTCATTAAGGGAAAATACAAATATGTGAGGTGTTTTTATAAGGATTCGAACCTTGAAAACTTTCCGTTTCGCGGATGGAGATTCTAAAGCTTGGCCACAGAAAACTCATTAAATTAGTGTCGTTAAGTTACCTAGAGTTGTCTGTCAGAACTGCTGCAATGAAATTAGCCAGACCGGAGAAAAGGGTTCAGTAGAAAAGAAAAGGGCCTTTTTTACGTGGTGGATTCCATTGCCATACAAGAGAATACAAACGAAAAATGGTAGAATATTCCTTCCTGTTTTTCGTTCTTTCCCTTTCTTCAGATTACGTCACCTGTGACTGGTTATGATAGCAAACGGAAGTTGGGAAAGTCCACAAGCATGCATAAAGCACATGCTCAAAAATGAAACCAGAACATCTAAAAGAAAATTTATCTACACTATCGACCGTTTAAAAGTAAATGTAGCACAAAGAAAACGTCTTTGATTCAGTTCAAGGAAAACCTAATCGCTTCGTGTTTGCCATGATATCCAGCGATATTCGCATAACCGTGATAACCTAGGTGCTTACTCTCACTAATTAATTCCGCATACAATTCTGCAGTTTTGCTTTCCTTTATGGATCGCATGATTCGTTCTAGTTAAATTACGTTGTTTTTTTTTCTCCTTTTTGCTATCATTCCGGATATCATTTGCTGTTGACTACTTATAATTTTTATCTATGGTCTCTTTCTGATGAATACATTTTCAATTGCCCGTTCTCTTATTCGTTCTCTCGTTCGATTTCTATGTTCAAACTTTCGTCTGTCTTTATGTCACCTGATGGTGAGCACTGGTCAACACAGTAAGAAACTTAGAGAGACTTCATGGCACCAAGAAAAAATACTACACTCCGTAACGGTGAGACATTTACAGTAAACTTAGCTCCTAACCTGCGAATTTTCAGTCTCACGTCCATCACTTGAAGCTAGTTCCAACAGACCAGGAGATAAGAACACTAGCACCTTCTTGGCTCTCTTTATCTGATTCTCTGCCCATCGCGGTGGGCCCTGGGAGCTAATTTCGTTTGTCACCATGGCATCCATAATGACGTTGTATCCTTGTTTCCGGAAGAGGTTTACAATTGAGGCCACTCTGGTACGAAAAACCTCGTTCTCTGGGTAATAACAGCTGTAGTACAGTTCTAAAGCAAAGAAGAACCCAACGTTATTGATTATGGAAAAACCGACTCTTTAAATAACGCAATTGTGTTCAACAAAACTACAATTTACAAATGCACTCATCTTACCTCTACTGTTGTTTGTTTTGGTAACACCATCCGACAGTTGAGAATCTGTAAGAAAAAGTTTAGGACTTTAAAGTCAATAAAATCTCATCAAACACATAGAATCGAAAATTCCATTTTCACATGCAGAGTCACATATTACCTCTAGTTATGTTTGCCTTGGTAATAACTTCTTGTAGTTGAGGATCTATAGGAAAGGTTGAGGACTCTTAAGTTAATATTATTTTAACCAACACAGTAAGAAAAAGAGTGGAAAAAAAAGATGAGAATGATTTTTAACTGCAGATAAATCACCTCTGCTGATGATTGCTGTGGTATAAACTTCAGGCAGATGAGAATCTACTGATGAGAAAAGTCAAAGACTTCAAAGTAAATAACATTTGAACGAACATAGTAAAAAAATAAACTTTACAATTTGCAAATACAGTCATATCACCTCTACTGCTGTTTGCTATGGGAATAACTTCTTGCAGTTCAGGATCTATTGGAGAAATTAAACCTCTTTAGCAAATAACATTTCAACAAACTCGGACTAAAGAACACTAAAACCCCTTAACAATATTACCTCGACGGTGGAATGGTCGCAATGTGGTCTTTCGACAGACAAAGGCCATCATCATTGCAGAAATAAGTACCACGCCCGCTATGGATCCCCCAACGATAGGCCACACCAAGGCCGAAGACTTTGCACTCCCTTAACGAAAACGAAACAAAAAGGGAACAATTCAGGGTTAACTGAATGAGTTTAAAATTTCCTACATTTAAGGCCAGAGATGCTGTCCCGCAGAAGATACAATCTAACTTTAAATTTCAAACATCCTTACTTCTTAATTACTTTTCTAAATCACAATGGAAACATTTCTCTCTCCCCACAACTATCTAATAAATGTCTTTCTTTTGTTTGGAAGAACCCAAAGTGAATGGCTTACCTTTTGTGGGAAAAATGGGATCGAAGGTGGGAACGAATGCTAGAAAAAGAAAGATATTACAAATGAATATTAGAAAACATCATCTGCTTAATCGTTAAGTACTCGCTGTAACAACTGGTGTGAATGAAGAAGATTCAGAGCCACTGTTCTTATTTTGATGGAACGTATTTTTCATAAACGTCTGTAATTTTCTCTAAAAATACAAGGGAAATAAATGATGACGAAAGTCGATTTAATGCAATAGTCGATATTCATTTTCGCATAAAAAGAAAGCAAAAAAAAAATGTATTGTACGATATACTCTTTTAAGAGCAGGTCATATACGATGAAGTTGGTCTGTCCAAACAAACACCAAAATACATGCTGCCGCCAGATTTAAATATAAAACCTGTACTTAAAAAAAGTAATATGTACGTTTAATTTGTAGTTTGATACAAGAAAAAATGCCTACTTGGTCTCAGTGGATCAAACTCTGACAAATTGATCGCTTGTTCTCCTGAGAAGGTGCTTCTAAATGGATAGGAAACGACCTAAAAATGAAAAACGAGACAGAACTTAGAACTCATTCCAACAGTTACAAACTTAGGTTAGATGTTTTTGTCCTCTTTATGCATGATGCAAAACAAGAGGTGCAGAGGAGTGTCACTGGTGTTCCTATTACATTTTGACGTCATGTGTGGCCTCTTTCTGAACAAACGCATAAAATCTATCTGTTTTATACGATCATGAAGACAAAACTTGTTCATGGTGACGTCATCTATGCGTCTGTCCTCTGATCGATCATCTATAGGAATCACTCTATTAAAATGCCCCGGACTTTAATATAAGTAATAATATAAAGTAACACACCGCATAACGGAGAGCTTCTGGTTTAAAATTTGCAGATTGATGTATCAGTGTCCAGTTGGTGTTATTCTGAAATTAGAACATCGTACTTCTCATTAATTAAAATTACTGGAGGGCACGTGCAAATCAACAGAACATTTCAGTTTTACAAAGCAGGAGGATTTCGGGAGAATTCTTATTTCTACTAACCTTTGGTACGAGCAGACATTTCACCTTTCTATCTGGTGAAGGATCGTCCCTAAATTCATACAGCAGTGAGTAATGAGTCCACGTCCTGTTATGGACTAAAACAGAACGATGCCAAATGAGAACCTTCTTGCGTTTAAGCTTAATTTTCATACACTTTGTCTCCGTTCCAGGAGAGAAAGGTATCTGCTTGACTGAGTGCCACGTTACAACAAAAATACACATACGCTTTCATAGATTTGCTACATATGTTTCAAGTGACGACTTCTCCTGCCACAAAAACATAAACACAAGTAATGAAAGCAGCTGTTGAAGGTGCCTGCGCTTTTGGCTTTGTTGAACTGAAATGAAGCCCCTCGTTTCCTTCCCATTTTCAGCTATAGCTGGATACAACCAAGTTACGGAGTAAAAGATTAACATTAGTTTGACTTCACACCATTACCAAAGCGAGCTATGGTGATATCAATGCCAACAGATTCTGTTTCTCGATTTGATAAGCGACTGTATTACGTTTAAACCTTGTTGAGTACACCACACAATCCGGCATACATCGCGAATTGAACATTTCTCTTTTTTTAGACAGATTGCCACGCTGCAATGATTTCAGTTCACATTTGGTCCCTCATTATAAGATCAGGATAATGCTAAAGATCACGGCTTTTCGACAAAAGTCCATCTAAAGTAGAGAAAAAGGGATCAAATCCGTGAAAAAAGCTAGTTCATTTGCAACATATCCGCACTTGTCTGAGCGCTTGCTCAAAGAAAGCAAGACAACTAAATTTAAGGACAAGTGTTACCTTTAAAAAGAAATTCCGGTATAGGCTCCCAAATGATGTTGTAACCATAAGTATCTGACGAAATTGTGTGGAATTCGACCTTCATCCTCTCTGGTGAACATGGAGAAGGTGCCGTAAGATCCCTAAGACCGCGACACTCTGAGAGAAAACGAAACGCCTAAATGAATTTCCTGTAATTCCCATGATATTTGCACAATCTTGTTCTCACATAGCAATCGCACGTGTTCTATCTGATTTATTTCAAGCCATCATGAAGAGGGCATCAATATTTCCCTATAAGAGAAGCTAGACTTGCATTTTATTGCGCCTCGAAGGACTCCTAAGCTTCTCTTATATTTTCCAGACTTCCAGTTTGCATCCAAAACTCGATATTTGCATAACAAAAAGCACAAACCAATACTTTATTGACAGATATAGACCACTTTCATAAATGGCTGCCGGATTAATATTCTTTTGTTTAAATTTAAATTTGCCGGAGTGGCCTCGCTTGAGATAATGTATTCTTTTGAATTTGTGCTGGAGAACGAGGCCACCCAGGCAAATTTATATGTAAACAAGAGAATTTTAATCCAGCAGCCATTTATGAAAGTGGTCTATTGAAAGCACCACTTGAATTATTGAACAAACCTTGTTTTCACTTTCTTATAAACGGCAGGGCGTGACTAAGAGGGACCCATAAATGCATTTGATCCACTTGAGTTCATACTAGACCAACCCAACGTCCTTCACGCAGTGTACAGAACATTAGAGACTTTAAGCAAACCACGAGAGCTACGGCAACGAGAACGTGGAAAAACAATAGATCTAATTGGCAGAATAATAGCCCAGCACGTGCGTTTTCAAACTTTGTACATTTCTTAGCCGTCCTTTGCAAAACAACGTGAAATCCCCAAAATTTGCGTCCTATGAGACGGTAAACACATCCAGCCATTTTCGAAATTCTAACTAAAAGTAGAAACTCATTTTTTAATCGATGTCTTCCGTGGCGTTGCCGTCCTGACTGCTTAAAGTCCCTATTATGACTATAAAGCTACGCTTAACTTGAACGAGTAAAAGCCAACAAGCTTTTGGGCTATTTTCAGTAGAGGCAAATGACAATTTCCAATGTTGACTCAATAAGCACAGATGGTACTTATTAATAAAAAGTTTGGACGAAATTTTCTTAAACGGCATCGATTATGGAAAGCTTTTAAAACCAATCACTAACCTTCGTATTCCAGGGAAGACCGTCGAGCCCTTCTTTTAGATCGTGCAAGAACTTCGTTATCTGACGAATAACAATAAAAAAAAATGCTGAAAGAAGCGTTAGTTACTGAACTCTCATCCGTTGATCAACACCGCGATCATTAATTATAGTAATTGCTATATAATTTTATCAGATGAAACTTTAAATTCAAAAAAAAAATTTTAAACATCACCAAATCGATTTATGAAAAGCAGTTAAACCTTTTACCCTTGATATCCCTTTGCTGCTTGCAATTCTGGATACACTTTTCAAATACAGTATTCTACAAACAAGAAAAGTGCATTTGTGTTAGAAACTAGTAACTCATTATCTCTTTAAATATACTATCGGACAAATGTGCAACTGTTAACTTTTTAGATGACCTTAAAACCTTAAGAACCTTTCTTTGATTTTTTTTTCCCTTCGCTGTCGACAAGTTGATTCAAAACGATGAAGGATAGTTAAGAAAAACGAGATTACGAATATATTTGGAAAATGATAAAAAAGGGACAATTTAAGTATCGCCTCATAGAAGCGTAGTTACTATCATGATTATCTTATTCATCATGAAAACATCGTGGACATAGTAGCATAGCTCGCAGATATGCTTTTCATTTTACATTATCTTAAAGATTCAAGGCGTCTATTATCAGACTCTGCAACATCATAACTACTCAATGAAGAGATGCTTATAATTGAGCGCCACGTGCAATTTATCAACACGTGTCGAACCCAAGATCGTCACGCCACGCACAACCAACATTGCCTGTTGACTGCTGAATGGGTCATTTTATCTTCCGGGTTATCCAAGCACAGCAGGCTGTAGAACGTTACACTCCGCATTGTAAGTTTTTTTCTTTTGTAAACAACAAGACGCACATCTGTGTTCACCGCGTCTATCCCTGTTTGCGCGTCCGTTTAACAAAATATAAGGTTTTTTTTAGGTACTCTGGTTACGCCAACACGTGCACTTAAGTATCAACGATTTATTCAATGGGATGACACATGAAATGACGGTAATTTAACGGAATTGAATTTTGATTTTTGTTTACTATTGAAAATGCGAGATAAGTTTAGACGCTGCGTGCTCCTGACACGTTGATGCTTTGACGCGAAAACAGGCAAAAACTTTAACAAACGAGAGATTGATACAATATAGTGTTAAAAAAAAAAAAACAATCAAATGTGAAAATGTCCCTAACAACCTTTACCAGGGAGTCTCTCCTTTCAAAGTAAAAATATCCAATGGCGGAAATCATACTGTAGACACAGTTTAAAACGGAAATTAGTTGATATTGGTAAATTTACTTAAACCTACGGCAATTGGTGTAAAAGAGAGAGAGAGAGAGAGAGCTAGCAGCCGCACTTTTCGCTGAGACGTGATTCACGAAACGTGTGTATGAAGGGTTTTTAAATGTTGATTGTTGATGCATGGGCTGTTCATTAAACTCCAAGCCAAAGCTTCGCAGTGTTCAATAAAGCGACCCCGCTGGCCCTGAAAGTTTTATGAAATTCTCAACAGCATAACGAAAAATTTAATTTCTGTACTCACCCTTCGATTCTCTTGGTCTTGTATGGTCGACCTGCATCGTCGACAGCAGACTGTTTCAGATGTCAAGGTCGCTTCACTTGAAGTACTCGATTTCGATTCTTCACGGAGACACAAACCGTTGGGGTTTGTTTCTGCGTGTTCAGTCCCAAACAAGTTAAAAGCAACGAGTAAACTGATCAACCGGCAACAAGAGAGAACCATCTTTATGGCAGTTCTTAGAATATCCAAGACCGAAAAATACTGAAACAGCTTATGCTCTGCTTCCTTTCAGCCCTCCGCTAGAGCAATACCGGATGGGCAAGTCTTTGCATCCGGCGGTCACGTGCTCAAAACACAGGACTAGACATCGATGAACTTTAACCTCTGGTCACTCATTTGGATAATTTTCCTCTCATTGATTGCTCCCTTTGTCAAAAAGTCTACATTTTTAGTAGAAATATTCCAAAAAATTTATGTTGTATCTGTCAGTAACTCTAATCGCTCCAACTTTGTAGCCCGCTGGCGTGGGTTACTCTGTCGCATTCGATGGATGGAGTAAATCGAAGTTGGACTAGCTAGTCACGCTATTGGATTCGCTTATGATATTAAAGTCACGTATTTAAAGCAATGCATTTAAAGCAGTACATTTTAAGCATTGTAGAAAAAATTCAATGAGACGAGCATGGGCTGCCAAAGCCTCAATGAACGCGGTTAGTGTTTTCTAATGGCTGTTCCACATTTCTTTTTGAGTTTTAATTTCGTCCGTGTGTTACCTTCAAAGTCTGTGAGCAGTTGCCTTTCGTCTATCTTGAATAAGGACTGGTACGGAGCCGTGAAAGTCATTGGCAGTAATGAGAGTGCTTCCGTTCACAACTCGTCTTTTTATCGCTCAGTTGACCATCACAAACAACAGGGTTCTAATCGACCTAATCACGGTGCGTGGCCGACGAACAAAGGGCAGGGATCTTGACAGCCACTAGTTATCTGCATACTTCCCAGTTCCAGCCTTTTGACACGTTCCAGATCTAGAAACCAACCCAAAAGTGCCATGAAGGAAATGCATTCGACAGTATACGATAAGGAGAAGACGGAAAAGACTACTTCAGTGGCTTACGATTGGCTAATCGTTATTTGGCCTCGACGATGGTACATGATAATAACAAGACAGAGAAAGAGGACAGATGTATCCTCCCTTATAACGTCCCCATCCACTCTGGTATGGTAGCAATCAAGGTCTTCCCTTTTTCGATAACATACAAAGGCGGACAATATTCTCAGGAAGCTTCTTTCAAAGCTCAAGAAGGTAACATGTCCCCTAACCCTAACCCTGTAAAGTCGAATTCAACCTCTTTGATCATTACCTTCGCTGTCACATTGCTTGGGGAGTTGGGAGAGGGCTAAATGACACCAATACCGAGGTTATTCGTGCACACAAGGAAAGAAGTATGAAATATGACCCTTCTGCTTCTGCTTTTCAACGGTGTCCCCGGGGTTTTGACTAGGATTGTGGCCATCTTAATCCTGTGCACCATAAAATCAGCATCCGAATTCTCCATACTCTTGCAATACATTTCCTTTCGTATTGACAGGGAGAATTTAGTTAACAATCAAAGCTTCCTCGGTTGGCCATCATTCCCTTTACTCTTATGATGTTAAGAAATGATTCAGCGGTATTATTATACGGAGAAATCAGAAGTTGTCAATCTAAGGGTTTAATTTAGGAGTCAAAGGAAACGTGATGACTATCTGAAATCGGATTAAGAGTCAACTTTTGCTGCCATAGAAACCCCAAAGTACTTTAAACAAATTTTAAACAAGCATAGTAGCGTACTATAGCTGCAAATTTTTATAAGCTAAGGTTCATTCCCTCTTACCTTCCTTGCCTTACCTTCCTATTTCCGCTTCCTTTCCCTCTTCCCCCTCTCTTTTCATTCTCTTCCCTTTCTCTCAAGAAGAGAAAAATAGCAAAAGTAAAAGCTTTAAGTTTCTTCCTCATCTGCCTTATTGTTTACCTTCCTAGAAATTTAGCATACAAAGATTTTAGCAGACTACTTAAGTTAAGCCGGCTGAGGTCACGAATATGTTAAGATAATAAAAAAAAAACATGTAAAGCGAAACGATATACATGTTAAACTGTCACGTATGTTTATTGAACCTGATATCTATCTGCTCTAGCAGCAAATTTTAAAATTGAATATTGCTTTGGTTCCCCTCTAGCGAATGTTTATTTAAGAGGTATGCTCTTTTTGGCTGAAGTCAAAATAAGAGTCACAAACCAACGAAAACGAATTACGATCAAATTTATTTTTTTTGGATATTACGCAAATCGGCCTCTTTCGACTTCCTGTCGACAGGCTATCGTTTACATTTCTGTCGATTGTCCGAGTGGGGGCATGTGTACCATAATATGCTCATGAGTTTAACCTTCGTCAAACTAACCGAAAGATCGTCCTTAGCTGGACGTTAAAAAACGATAAATATCCCTTGATGCCCAGTGAAGAATGTAGCCACAGTCCAGAAAGCAATGCCGAATGGTTTGCAGACGATTGCTAAAAGGTTCTCTGGTCTTCTAACCGTCATTTATTTCCTTGGCTTAGCAACGCTTTCTTCAGGGAAATATGCATCTCTGCACGACAGACTTTCGCAATCGAAACGAGATCCATCGTCTCCGTGTCATCTTCGTTGTGCCTCAGATTTCAGTAAGGTAGGGAGATTAAAAAACTTTGAAGTACTCAAATTAAAGAATCAATATATGGTTGAATTCTTAAGCAGACATGCTTCAAAAAGACGCAGCTACAAATGCTTTAATTGGGGATGTCGCGACTTCTCCAAATGGATGAAAACTTTCAGTTTCCAACGTTTCACAACATCTAACTTCTTCATTTCCTGAATAACACGCAGAGTGAAAAACTCTTTGTTTTACGAATTTTCAAATCGTGTAAAAATACTAAAGGATAGTCGTATGGCTTTAAACTAGATTTGCTTGTTAACACCCACGTAAAACCATGAGAAGGATCCGTGTTCGGACGCAAACAGGATGATAATACGAAACGATTGCAGGTACAGCTCGCTACAAGATGACAAGCGAGGCTATTGACGCATGTCGGCCTTGGTTTCTATGGTTGATTTTTTTTATTGTTGAGTTATATGTTAGGGATTATTTTGCTCCTTGTATAAGACAATACCCTAATCGCCGAATTCTAAGTATGCTAAATTACTTAATAAGCGAAACAGATGCATTTTGTTTGTCCAGTTCTCATAGTTTTTCCTTTTTACACCGACAGATGCATATAAAACTTGAACAGCCCCTATCAGTTTCATTTCTTTTTCTCCTGTCCGTCTTAAATCAGAGTGTACTTCTGTAAAGTAAAATAAAAGTGACTATTGAGTCTTTGGCTACGTAGCAGGTCCTGATCAGCCGTAACTTATTTTTATCACAAGAAAATGAAATGTGATTTTCATCATCTACATCGTATTTCAGTAGTTACTACGCTAATTTCTTCATTAATTTGTAACATGGAAACATGACTTTTCAAGGCTCATGTCTATGCTTCCTAATTTTTAGTTGGCTTAACATGCATATTGTGCTGCATTGTTGTGTCCTGTTGCGGATTTTTGCATATGAGTCAGCAACCATTCTGTTTTTTTTTGCACCTGCCCTTTTAACGCGTCTTATCTAAACAGTGAGATGATAATAAGCAGCCCTTTGGAATATGAGTCCTTGCTCTTCCTAATAAAACTATGTTAATTGAACTTATGTCAAACAGCAATATTAACATGGCGTAGTAACAAATCATCAAAGGTGAAGTTATTGGCACCACATGTAGTTATAAAGCTCAATATTAAATTGGACATTTCTATAATTTTTGTTCATGTTGATTACCCATGTTGTTGTTATTGTTTATATTATTATTATTGTTGTCTTTATCTTCAGCACCATTATTACAATTACACAGTCATGAAGTTACCAACCATTTTTTATCCGTTTCCTCTTCCATTCTCTTTCCCTGAATGATACTACACCTGTAGGAGGTAAAGGGTTGTCAAAGACTTCACTGAAAATAATTGAAAAAAATCTGACGAATGCAGTACATACATGTATTTATACTAATTATAAATGACATAGTAAATGTGAATATGTCAGCCAAGGTAGACTAATAATTGTCTGTAACTTGAAACCTGAAAAAAAAAAAAAAAAAAAAAGATTTGTCTAATATGTGCATAATATTGGTTCTGTTTCAATTTTTGTTTTGCCAGGTGGTTTCTTTTGAAGAATGTGTAGCAAGTTGCCAAAGAAATGTTTCTTTAAATAGAGGTAAAATACAAGTAGATTATGCACAGGGCTTGACACTAATTTTTTCAACTTATTAGCCGAAGTGGCTTGTGACATCCTAGATGTTAATACAACAATTTCAGTTTGTTTACTTGCCAAATTGACTAGCGGAAAGTGAAAACCACTAACCAAAACTGAATTTCTACTAGTCTGTGGCTAGTGGGCTACCATTACTGACAAGTCACACATAAAAACTGGTTTATAATTTCATTTATATGTCAATACATTATGCAAGTAAGCCTAAAATGTAATAATTTTGGTGGTGCAAGAAAGTGTTGTGATAAAGCTTTAAGTAGTATACCTTACCTACCATGTGCAGTTCTAGGGACGGCTGTTCAAAATGTTGTAAAAATATAACCAGGATTACGTTTAACACATGGTCTTGATTTTTTCTTTGGTTTTTTTGTGTTGTCCTGGGCCACATTATTCAAAGCTACATTAAGATAACGAAGGGTTAGTGAGAAATTTGATTTCAGATTTTAAAGGCATAAAAGAAAGTTCACTACCATCCCTTTTGTCTACAATTTGATGACTAGACACTCTAAGAAGAATATAGAAAATTATGTGAAAAAGGCTTTTGAACAAAGGAATAAAGAAACCCATTTTAACTTGAATTTAACCCTGGGTTAGCACCAAGTAGACTTCAAACTTCAATTAACTAGGTACTAAGGGCAACATTTTATGGAGTTTTAAATGGCTGAGTGTAACAAAAACCTGAAGATGGCAAAACCTAATTGACAAATCTCGCTAAAATGTGATAGCAATTTTATTAGAGTTTTGCACTGACTGTGGGCTATGCGAATTGTGTATTGAACATGTCACCCTTGGCTAAAAGAAAGTGAAAGTAGATACCCAAGAATAGGAACAAATGCTTCAAAATAATTTATTTACAAAAGTCATAACCAATGAAGTAAAATCTAATTCCACCCAATATATGTCTGTTAAATCCAATTTTAGACACAATGTATAGAAACAGGAAAAAAAGAGATGGTTCTTCTGTCAGGCAACAGCGAAGTGCTGAGAACCGAAATGGTGAGTTGAAATTGAAAATCTAGGATTTGACACTCAGGATGTACATGTAATGGGATATTTATAGTGTTTTCAGGATCATTCTAACAAATATGTTGGGTGTGTTGTAAGATGGAAAACTAATTAAATAACACCTAAAGACAAGTGCATATTCTGCAAATGATTTGAACCAGCCAGACAGACAATTGGAACACACCTTAGCAAATTCAAGCCTTAACTGATGGGAAAGAAAGGAAACAATACTTGATTTGAAGGGAAGGATAAACATCACTATACCACATTAACTATTGACACAATTATAATAAAGTAACTTAAAGAAGAAGTTTATGAATTTTTTTGGAGTGACAAATATTTCCACCATAACAAAAGTGCTTCCCTAGATCATTTTTAAATGGAACCTGACTTGCATAAACATTTTATCTCATAAGGTTAACCTATTGAATAACTGTTTATGTGTTGATACAGACAAAAACATTCTTTTTGGAAATATATCAACAGAGTGCATGACCTCTCCTGCACAGTCAAAAAACGAACCACATAAAGTTGAGATACATTCAGTAAAATTCAGAGAAAAGGATATTGATGTTGTGTGGGAGAATGTGACTTCTTCAAAAACAGGTAATGGAACAGTTTTGTCATGTTTCATAAAATAGCCCATTTCTGAATTACCTTTAGCCTCTTTTTCAAAGTGAGTCCTGGTGCCCATCCATAATATGTTTTCATTCACATGCAAATTAAACTCACTATCACAAGGAAGATTGAGCAGCAGGCATTGTTTTAAAAAAGAGGCCAAGGGTAGTTTGGAAATAACCTATTGATTGGTAAGAGTATGATGAATGACAATCTTGAGGAAAGGCCAATTACCTAAGATCACTGTATCAAATGAAAATTACACATAAATTCCTCCAAATTGTATTATCAGGAACAACAAAGAATTCCCACCTTGATTTATTAAACATGGTGTTGAAGTTTGAGATTTACGACCTTCAATTGGTAAAATAAGACATATTCTAGTTAATCATTTCTTCCTATAATTTAAGAGCTCTTTGCTAAGACTAAAGGAAATTAAATCATTATTTTCTTGACAGATTACAACTGGTCAGCTTATGCGCTTATCTACAAAATTCGTTGTGATGGATGTTCTGATGACGCATTAGCCAAGTGCAAAATTATTCCAAAGGTCAGGTTTGCTTATTAATTTGTTTTTTTCCAAAAGGGGGAAATTGAGTTTCTTAAGACCCAGGCTTTATATTGCAACTGAAGATAGTTTTAAATTATTCATTGGTTTGTAATATGGTTATGAAGGCACTCCCAGACTTAAATTACTGTCAGTGGTGTAATGATCAACATCATCATAGTCATTAGCGTCTTGTTCAAAAATCTTTTTGAAGGTGATTTTTATGAAATATCTAGGAAAATAAACTTGTTCATTGATCATTTGTTTACCAGTAGCTGTTTTTACAGGTTTTATAATTTTCATATTTATATTTTGGAGTAGAAAGCAATTTGTCATAATTTGGCCTTCAAGTGGGCTTTTTTTTTTCAACTACATCTTGGTTTATTTTCAATCCCCTTGTACCATATCCAAATATACAGAACCTTTTCAGTGGAAAATACACTTTGTAACTTATTTTTTCAACAAGTCCTTAGACCTTTGATTAAATGGTTGTATGACTTTTTATGTATATCAAAATAATTATATGATTACTGAAATATTTTTCGTATAATCTGAAAACTTCAGAACCAAACAAATTATTCAGTGCCACTGGCTCAATGGGAAAAGCCAGAATATCTTTTTGCAGCAGTATGTATAACCTTACTCAATTCATTATTTGAATATTATTTCATTTCATTTTTGATACATCGTCTTTAAGAATGAGACAAATATCAAAGCTTAAATATCAGAGCTTGACTCTAACAGTAGCCAACTAGCCACAGACTAGTAGAAATTTAGTTTTGGCTAGTAGTTTTTAATTTCCACCAGCCAGTTTGGCTAGTAAACAAACTGAAATTGTTGTAACACCTAAGTTGTTACCAGCCACTTAATTGGCTAGTAAGTTGAAAAGTTAGTGTCAAGCCCTGTTATATTTAACTTTTCTAAACAAAATGACTGGTGCCTGTAATATGATTTGGTTGTTTAGAAATCACTCAGCAGTACCTTTCTGGTTTGTGGCTCTCAGTAAAGGTAGTTTTAACTTGGTGTTTGAGGAGTATCAGAGTTCTCCTGATACAGCTTTGGAAATAATTATGTAAATTACAGATTTGCATAGAATGACCATGAAATGAATTATTCAATAAATGAGAAATCTAAAAGGACACAGCCAGTCATTTTCCTAGTAGCCCTTGATTCTAAAGTATAGTTTCATTAATAATGCTGTTGTTATTGTGTCTTGCTGGGATTTCCTTTTTACGTGCAACTATTAAGAAAATCAATCACCATTTCAGTATGATGATGAAAATGAGCTCATTTATGTTTGCTGTCTTTAGGTTGTGACCTTCCCCTATCACAGAAAAGCTCAAGTAACTCTTCATACATTTTCTTCAAAGGGTGAGAATCTAACTTTTTGCTAATTAGCTTGGAAGTCTTTAAAGCACGAGATACACAGAAATGGACTTTGATGGATACATTGTTCAACTATTATTTTTCTAAAAAAGTGAACAAGATAAAAAAAAACTTTTGTTGACTAGAGGAAGTAGAATACTTGTTTTCCTTTTCTTTTCTGGTTGTTAATGTGAAATTGTACATGCATCTGCATAGCTTAGTTTGTGGCAAGATCATGGTGACTGCCATCTTGTAAATATCATAATTCAGAGAACCTAGCAAATTCTAACTGGACATGTAAATATGTAAATGTATCGATCACTTGCTTTTGAGCAGAACTTTTTATTCCTGCTAATTAAAGTGAACCTTTCTGGTGTATTTGCAGCCCAAGGACAACAAATACCTATGCCTACTGAAGCTAAAAAAGGTAAGCCATACTGATATTTGACATCCAAATCAGTTACATGCACATTATTCTGGCAAACCTCTACCTTCTACAAGTAATGAACATGTGACCTCTAGATCACCTCACAATCTCAAGAAGTTATCCAACTAACAGGCACTGAGAATTAACAGACAATCCTGCAATAGCCAGGAAGTGTTGTGCATCTTGACACAAGTGATGCCAAAATGATAGATAAGGCTTTGCTCACCATAGAGTCTCATTGGCTTGATGGTAGAGCATCGCAGCAATGAATTCAGAGGTGTGATGTTCTATTCTTCACTGGAACTCAGACTATTTCATACCTCCTACCCTTGCAACAAGACAAAAAAAAAAAAAACAGCTTTTTCTGGGTAGAAACAATGTGGCACAATCCTTCATAATGAATAAAAATTTTTTTTCGTTGTCACTGACTAAAAAACTTTGTGTAAGGACATTTCAGTTAAAGTACTATAACCTTCTTCAGCAATAAAATGGCTACAAAAGCAAATGAGTGCTTTAAAAAGAGCTGCAGAACGTCACTTGGGATTGCCAAGGGCCTTGTAAATGTCAGGAATGTAAATGTGTTCATTAATGGAATTGAGTTCACAAATTGAACGGCACGCTTCTAAGAATAATCTTTTTTACCATTGGGAACAGCGGTCAATGATCTTGACATCCTCAAGGTCAAAAATATGATTGTATTTTATACAATGTTGAGTTAATAAAGAATTTCCATCTCCCATGAAAATTGCTCTCTTGTGTTCTCTAATCCTGGATCTTAAGGCTCTTGAAATTTGACCGACATAAACTTTGTCAGATACAATGTATATATGAAGTCCATATATTTTGAACTGCAGTATTAGATACGTATGATGCACAATCCTCGCAGTAGAGAGCGCTATTTATGCAATAGCGAAAATCAGACCTGAAAAAAATCAGGCCAGTACGGGATTCGAACCACTGACCTCTGCGATACTAGTGCAGTGCTCTACCAACTGAGCTAACAAGCCAACTGGTAACAGGTCGTTAAGTTGATTCGTAATAAACCCGTGATGATAAATCAGATGCAATGTATATATGAAGTCCATATATTTTGAACTGCGGTATTAGATAGGTATGATACACGATCCTCACAGTAGAGAGTGCTATTTATGCAATAGCGAAAATCAGACCTGAAAAAAATCAGGCCTGTACTATAAACTTTGTCACAATCTTTACAACTGATTTTATAGATCACTCCTGTCGATAAGTCTTTACTAAAATTGTCTTTAGGTTTTTTTAAAAAGGAGCCAACAGTTGTTACAGATTTGTGGGCAACATTGATGTTGAACTGCCTTAAAGTTCTTGCAATTTTTTCTAAAATTCCTTGAAGATATGGCAAGGTGACAAAACCTCTGTCGATCTGAGACTGATTTGTAGACCCCGTGGTGCTTTGGGGGCTTCTGATAAATTGTTGGGTGTAACCATTGATCTTCAGGGCGTCAACCACGTGTTGTATTTCGGATAATCTGTCCGCAATCCTTCATCTTTGAGAACTTCAGAAAATCTCATACAATCAATTTTTCACACAATTTTTGGGTAGAAATTCATCCTCATGTATTAACCTTTCTGATAATGATGTTACACACGCAAAAATTAGCATGTTCATAATTAGTTAAATTTGGTAGAGTGTCTTCAATCTGCACTTGTTCTGTCGTTGTTTTTTTGGAGACACCTAACTTTTCTTGACTGTGTGGTGTTGTCGTTGCAGACACAGCTAAACTTGTAGGCTCTATAGTGGGAGGAGTTATAGCAGGAGTGGTTATGCTGTTGCTGTTGTTTGCTCTAGTCAAGAAAAGGCCTTGCCGAGGTAATACCTGAACGTGTAAGGCATAGTTGGTTAATTAAGGAATCACAGTAAATCTGCTGACTAGTGTCAATCGCTCACTCAGCTAATTTTCTCCCAGGCACAGTAAGTGTTGCTGAATAATCAAACACACCTACCAGCCACCTCTCCTTCAACAAATATTAAATCAGCAATTATTTTTTTGGTGTAAATCAGTAGATTATCAGAGCAGTTATTTCCACTTTAGTGTCTTATTTCATTTTTGTTAATATCTATATTTAGCATTTAAATTTAGTCTAGTATATCTCAAAATTGTCTCAGGACCATATCACCATTTTAACATCCATTCTGAATAATGATAACAGTATTTTTGTTGATGGCCAATTTAGGACTGCAGTACTCTTTGTATTATGATGAACTGGTTTACTTTGTATCATCAGCACACTGTCTTGTGGATGCAAACATGTAACTTTGATGTTTTTGTTATCTCTGTAAGCCGGTTATTATCATTATTACTCTCTACTTTGCTATTATATCATCATTTTTATTAACCAGCTCAATCACCTAATCATACCCAGATTTGGATTGAGTGTTTTTCATTTCATGATTTTTAAAGGAAGCACCCGTTATATGCCCCCACCAGCACCCCCAAGACCAGAAGAGAAAAAAGGAGAAAAAGGTAAGCTTATCTGAAATTTTAAGTGGATGATGTTCCTAAGGGGCCGACCATTTAACTCTTGAGGGGGGGAGGGGGTGATTTTGAAAAACATTTCCTGCAAGCGCTTGTTGGAAGAAAAAAATTGCATGCAGCCCAAATGTAACAGAAAAAATGTGACAAAAAAACGGAAAAAAATATCCTGCCCAGCAGATTGCTAGAAAAAAATTTCTTGATGACCAGAAATCACCCATCCCCCCCCTCAAAAGTTAAATGGTCGGCCCCTAAATATAGTTCATTAAGGTTATTGTTATAATGATGTAGGTATGTAGGTCGTTAATACACTTGCACTTATAAACAGTGAATTACTGGGATTATGGGGATGCATTTGTTTGATCCCATGACGTAAAGAGGTTCCAAGATGGCGGCTAGGAAGCAAAGACATCAGCATCTCTCTCCTTTTTTATTTTGTTAAACTGTGGTGCATGCATGTTTCCCATGTGTTTCAACGAGTCTTATTTTGACACTGCATTTTCTTACGAGTGATGGCAGCTTTTTCCAGTGGATAATTCCTTACTGAAGAAAGAGATAATCGTTCAAACGCAGGTTCTCTAATTTTAAACTCAGTTACTTGTTCCAAAAAGTAACAAACATTCTGTTTTGTACGTCCAGAAATCACCTACAGCTGTGAGCTGAAACTCAATGATACTTTAAAGCACTTACCTGATAAAACCGTAGATCTATCCGCCAAGGAATCTTCAAAGTCCTCTATGAAAACTGTGCACGACATAAACACAAGTGCTAGAAGTCACGATGTCTTCCTGACAAATTCTTCTTTGTGCAAGGAATGTTCACTGTTTTCTCATGTTTTTCTATGTCCTGAACTAACCTGGTTAATAAAATAGTATATAGATCTTAGAAGACTACAAAAAGGCGAAGAAACAAGGTGGTTTGCACGTTACGTCAATTGCCGCCATGTTGGTAGACGTAAACTATAGATATCTCATCAGCCTCTTTTGTTCGTCCATCAGCATTTGTTCCTTTCACCAGTTTTACCTGTGTCACTAGAGATTGGTTGCAAACCACCTATATGTGAGCGCTTTTTTGCTCACGTGAACAGTTAAAGATTGCCTCACTGTGTCACGCAACTTATACGATGGAGTTAATTTGAACCAGTTCTGTTCTTGCTCTCATTTTCTATTTTTTTTTTTTTTTTTTTTTTAATAGAGCAATACTACACTTGCTATTACCCCGAGAGTGATGCTTTTCGAGACAGAGTGGCCTCAATTGTGAACTATTTTCGCCAGAACGGTTATAATGTCATCATGGACGTTATGGTGTCAGAAGAAATAACTTCCCAGGGTCCTACGCGGTGGGGAGAGAGCCAAATAAGAAAAGCTAATAAGGTGCTGATTTTTTTATCACCTGGTTTGATAAAACTCGCTCTGGATGGGATGGAGTGCTTGCAGTCCCAGGTAAAGACATGGTACTTTTTCTTTTGGTTACTCGTTTGCTCTTTGTTTGGGCCCAATAATTTAGGTTGGATAAATTTATAATTTAGGTTGGATAAATCACCACCCGGTGGATAGATGTTCACAACTGGCTGACGTTCTGTGCTATCCACCGGTTAGAGATTTAATTATTGGATAGTGTTATCCATCCTTCGAACAATTAATCAGGGCCGGTTTTTTTGGTTTTTTTTGGTTTTTTCTTGTTGTTGTTGTTTCCGCCTGCTGATTTCTGTTCCGTTGATTTTAACACGGCCGACTTCGTTGTTTTAGCTTCCTTGGATAATTGAAAAGTCAGGCTAAAGGGAGGGTGTGTTAAAGTTCTGTTACTTTT